CAAGTGCCTAAACACATATGCATGTGTGTGCATTTGTGTGTGTGTGTGCTGGAGTGTCGAAAACCCAAAGACCAGCTGGCTGGCATGCACATACCTGTTTTTTAGCCATTTCTGGCCCATTTTCAGGGCATTTTTCAGGGTGTTTTTGCAGCTGTTTTCAGGCTGTTTTTAGGCCATTATCAGGCTGTTTCGGGATATCTTTTGGGCTGTTTTCTGGAACTCTGGCACTCATGAAGACCAGCTGACTGGCGTATCAGAAAGCAGAAGAGTAGCTGGCGACAGCATGTGGTGCCCACAGAGAGGGTCTTGTGTGCCACCTCTGGCACGCGTGCCATACGTTCGCCATCACAGCCCTCTACCATTTCAGACAACTGGTTGTCAAATCTCTTAATGGAGCATCAACAACTTGTGAAGCAGTGACGTGCACTCAAGGGAGGCAGGGGAGGCAGAGCCTCACCACTGTCATCATGAAAAGAAAAGAAAATGTCAAAGGAAAAAGGCAAGAGCTGAGTTGAAATCCTCTCTGAAACAGCTGGAAACGGTACAAGTGGGTCAGAGGGAAGGGGAGGAATTCAAACTTCATCCTCCTGGTGCGGGGCTTTGGGCAAAGGCTGGAAGGAAGTGCTCTCCCTCCCCAAGTGTAGTTTGATTGTAGGCAGAGCCACGTTGTCTTTTCAAACCTGTAATCAGTGAAACTGGGCTGGGGGAAAGTGTGCTTGCTCTAGTATGGCTCTTTGACTGGCTTCCTGCCTCCTCCTGTGGTCTCCCTGACTCACTCCAATAGAACTTTGTGTGTGTGTGTGTGTTTGTGTGTGTGTGTGTGTACTTGTTTGAGAGACAGTTTGTTTGCGTGAGAGAGGGAAGGGGGTAGGAGAGATAGTCCAATCCAACTTCTGTGTGTTTGTGTGTGTGTTTGAGAGGGGGGGGAGGGAGGGAGAGAGGGAGAAAGGAGGGGAAGGGAGAAGAAAAAGNCTTCCTCTCTCTTTCTTTCTTTCCCTTCCTTCCCTCCCTTTCCTTTCCTTCTGTCCCCTCCTTCCTCCTTCCCTCCCTTTCTCTCTTCCTTCCTTCCTCTCCCCTCCTTCTTCCATCCCTCACTTCCTCTCTTCATTCATTCTCTCTCCCTCTCTTCCTTTCTCTTTCTTTCTTCTTATTTCTTTCTTTTCCTCCCTCCCCCCCTCCATTCCTTCCTTCTACAAGTCCTTCCACTTTTCTTCACAACATTTTTCACAAGTGGTTTGTCATTGCCCCCTTTGTAGAACTGAGAGGAAGTAACTAGTCCAAGGTCACCCAGCTGGCTTTGTGCCCAAGGCAGGACTAGAACTCACGGTATCCTGGTTTCTAGCCTGATCCCTTAACCACCACACAAATCAATTTCTCTCTCCCTCTCCCTCTCCCCCTCTCCCTCCCCCTCTCTCTCTCACACACAAACAAACACACAGCACTCCTAGTCTGCTTTAAAACATTAATCTAGCTGTATTGCATAGGTAAGCTTCTGTTGAAAAAAACTTCCTGAAAACCGCTTGAGCGTCTGGAGAGTTAAGATTTATTACTGGGCCTGGTGTAAAGCTTGACAATAGACAGGGAACTCTGATTACCTGTATTTTCAAACATCCCGTTCTCCAAGGACATCTGGAAGCTGCTCCGCAGCGAATGTCTACAGTGTAGGTAGTATTTCTTGACACAATACAAAATAAATAAAACCCTTGGAAACACCAATAACAACAGTAGTTCGAAGCAGGAGCCTGATCGGTAAAGGACAAGAGGGAGGCCACCAACATTGAATAAGAATTAATTAATGTACGAGAGCTTTGTTATCTGTGTTGATGGGAGAGTTGTGTTGACGGCTACATTGGAAATACGGATGGATGGCACAGTGGCTTAGTGGCTGATTGTCCAAGAATTTTTCAAAAACACATTCATCCTAATTCTAGCCTTTCATTTTTCATTCCCTTATAGTCCCCACTTCACCCAGTTGGTCTTTCTCTATACCTTCACACTATTTCCAAAACATCCCCTCAAAAACATAATAATAAAGTAACAGAACAGTGGTGGGTTTCAAAAAATTGTTCGAACCTACTCTGTGGGTGTGGCCTCCTTTGTGGGAGTGGCTTGCTGCCCATGTGACCGGATNTCCGTGAGCCCTCGGCGTTGAGTCATGCCGGCCACGGGACCACGGAGGCGTCTTCGGACAGCACTGGCTCTTCGGCTTTGAAACGGAGATGAGCACCGCCCCCTAGAGTCGCAAACGACTAGCACACATGTGCAAGGGGAAGCTTTACCTTACATGTCTGACCCAGAGGGTAGTATGAACCCGGTATCTGATTGCATTTCCAACTGATTTTAACTCTTCTTTTTATGGAACGATTTAGGAGATAGGGGGCTTCTCATCCTGGCTTTCGAAGCACAAAATTCTCGGCACGCCGCCGTGTTAAGGAGTAGACTTTCTTTTGCAAATCGCCAGCAGCGAGATAGCAGAAAAGGGCAATGAATTACAGATAAGGCTTAGCTGAGTAAAGCGAATTTTCCCAGTCCAAAGTCAAGCCAAAGATTTATGGTCCCAGATCAAGGGAGGAGATGAGGTCATGGGTAGTCTACACGTTGTAAATAACTACATTCCAAGAATGATAGTAGGCCAACCAGTTCCTGGAGTTGCTTTCGGCAAGAAAGCCCCTTCTTTTCTAAGAGAATTTAGATACGGGTGATCCTCGACTTGCGACGACATTTGAGCCCCAAATATTTGCTGAGAAGTGAGGCATTCGTCCCATTCCTTGCTGCATTTGTTAAGCGAATCAATTAGCAGCCCGGTCGTTAAGTGAATCTCGCTTCCCCTTTCGAGTTTGCTCATCAGAACGTCACACGAGGGGATTGGCTGCCGGCTGCCTGCAGTTTGGCAGTTCGAATCCCACCAGGCTCCACGTTGACTCAGCCTTCCGTCCGTCCGTCCGAGGTTGGTTAAATGAGGACCCGGATTGTTTGGGGGTTTGCAAGAGGCTGACTCTGTAAACCGCTTAGAGAGAGCTGTAAAGCACTGTAAAGCAGAATATAAGTCTATTGCCCTATTGCTATCGCGTGATCTTGGGGCACAGCAATTGTCATAAGTACGAAGCGGTTGCCAATCCTCTGAATTTGGATCCCATGACGCTGGGGACGCCGGTAAGAACGATGGCAAAAAAAAATGGTCCTTCATCCCTTTTCGTTGGTGCCGTTTGCAGCTTTGAATGGCCACTAAATGAATTGTCATAAGTGGAGAACTACCTGCCTTCTCTCCCTGCTGAGTTTCCACAGCTGTGAACAAACTTTGCCCAGGAGTTGAGCATTGGGCTGCTTGCTCATGAGTCGCACACTTCGGCGAGGTGCAGAGGCACAAGGAGGATTTGCATGGGGTGGGTGGGAGGTGGGCTAGGAAGTGTCCGGAACAGCCTGCTATTCTGACTGAGGCATCCCGAGACCCTGAAGCAAACTCCTTGTCCCGACAAAAAAACCCTTTTATTAATTGACTATGAATTCTGCTCATTCACACCCAGCAAAGACTTTCAAGGGAGGATTTACGGTCACAGACCTTATCTGGCTTGGAGAGCTGCCAGGCTGATCTCTGCAGAACCTG